GGGTTACAGACTGTCCGCAGGGGCACAGACCCGTCCTTACAGCCGCTTCCCCCTGAGGTGCTATGAGCCCAGAGGAGCTATTCATGCCTGGGACCAGGTAGCAGAAAGGCTTCCGGGAAGGTTCGTCACAAGTTGCTATCTATTAGGATAAATTTCTGTGGGGATAATTAGACTTTTCAAGTCTCTTTGTTGTTAGAGTAAAATCTCCCACAGTTTTTTGTTGCCTGAGGAGAGCTGATGAGATTTTATACCTCCTACTAAGATTATAATAAATCTTTTGGCTGCTTGGTTTGCAATGATGGAATTTCAATATGGGCCAAAACTTGAATATAACAATCAACTACTTGGGCTTAGTCCTGAAAACATCAAAATAAGAAGGTATTGGTTGTAGCTCAGGACTCCCTAGGCTAAATCTCCAGTACCAAGGGCTGGGGGTGGGGATTGTGCGTGATTGTTCTGGAAGCCTACTTTCATTCTAGCAAAAAATTGATGAGACAGGCTCTCGGAATGCTCAGGGGGTCCAAGGGAGACTTTCTGCCGGTGAAGTCCCAATATTAAAGAACACACGCACGCAAAGCATCAGCAACAGCAGCAAGCAACGTAGAGCAGAGCGCCAGAGCAAGACCCACCTGTGTCATTGTATAACTCTTGTACAGGTTGTTATCTGGTATTTGCATTCTTGTATAGTGCTGGAACTAGCATGTGTGTTTACCTGTGCTAGATTACGGTTACATAACTGTATCCCATGGCGGGTCTCTGCTAGACAAGTGGGATCATGTCCTCAGGTGTCCCTTAGATCCCCTGAGCTTTCAGGCGGTCTGAGTGGTCTCCCACTGTTACGGCTTGTATCTAGGTACCCCCTCCAACGCCTCATAAAGTCACTGAGGCAGGCTCCTAGAGTTTGCGATTGATTCATGATCCAATGCTGGGATTATGGGTATAAGTGTTACACCAAGCCTGGGGCAGAGGGCCTGAAGGCAACGGAAGGAGGGGAGAAAGCCTTGTTCTCTCTCTGTAGCTCCAGCCGCTGCTTTCCCTTTGCTTTGTGCTGTTTTCTACCGCCATGAACAGCTGCCCTCTGCCATGTGCCAGTCTGTCCTGGAGCCAGCTGACTATGTACTGAAACCTCCACGAACTGTGAGCTAAAGAAACCTTTCCTTCCTTAATTTTGGGCATTGGGTGTTTTGTCCTAACAATGAGAAAAGTAACCAAGGCACCCACACAGGACCATTTTAATTATCCTTGTCCCAAGATATAAAAACATATTTTCTAAGGATACTTAGTTCCTTTTCTTGGGGAGCTGAATTTGAGACCAAAATCTGGGAGCTTAATACTGTGACAGTGCAGCGTACAACATTAAAGACAAGTGCTATAAATATGTAATTTTTAAATGTCATGGGATCTTATCATTACTTATAGTTTAACCTGACTAAGCACTTCAACCTGCTTAAAATTATAAATCTTTATTTTTTCCTGTCTTTCTTGAGATACCAGTTTCTCTTATTCTTATAATATATAAAAATCCTTTTATTAATTGTAACATTCACACTGTATAATATATTGCATATATCCGCAGAGAACATATCTAATCCTGGATCCATATCTCGGGCTGCGTTGCCCCTCCTTTTTATTTTTATACCCTTATTTTACCACTGACTATCATTCCTTGGTGTCTTTTTGCTATCAGAAGCTTTCTGATATCGGATTTCTGGTACTGACCACCATGCATTTCATTTGATTAATATCTGGTCATCGAGGGATAAATGACTGGGCTTTTACAACAACTTCTAACAATATGACTCTTCAGGCTGTTGGATTTCCTGCTCCCTAACGGTCTCTCCTAATAATGTGCAGTTCGCATCTATTACTGTCAGTCAGTACCATCGACAAAGATAGTCTCATTGGTGAAGGCGCAATCTCATTGTCTGTTCTAATAAAATTTCTCCATATTTCCTTCAAAGCTGCCACATCAGTTCCTTTCCCCAACGTAACAGAAGCATTGTTCCGATGGCTTGGAGCAGGAAGGCGCTGGGCTGCTCTGTCACCCACAGATGTATTTCTGGTGCTTGTTCTCCTGGTAGTGAGGATGGACTGAGAAATAGATATGGCTCCTCTCTTGGGATCTGGACCACCACACCTGATTACTGTTTGTACTAATATACCAAAAAAAAAAAAAAAAGTAATTCTGCATTCTGCCTAAATCTGCCTCTTCTGTTGTTAAACTTCTCGGGGTATCAGTTTGCCCATGCATGTCATGATAGTAATTTTATAATTAATAAATATAATAAATGAGTATATTTATTTTAATTTTTTTTCTGTATTTTAGGGAAGGGTCTACAGGTGTTCAGGGTCTCACTACTAGATTGGACTCACAGTGATCCTCCTGTTTACAGCCTCTCAAGAGCTGGGATTATGGGTGCGCACCACCACACCCAGCTTCAGTGAGCATATTTAATATGAAATATAAAATGTTCCAAATCCACTATGACAAGATGGCACAAATATAAAATTTCATACCTATTCCTACGTGATCTGTCATAGTCAAGCACATGTGCAACCTTCAGACCATGCATGTACAATGTGTATGAAACATAAATGGATTTTGTGTGTAAACCTGGTCTTATTTCCAAGTTTTCTTATTATCTATATGAAAAGACCTCCAATTCAGGACAGATCTGGAATCTGAAATGCTTCTCATTCCAAGCATTTTGAATAAGGAATATTCAACCTGAAGTTACTCTGTGTCTCAGAATGCTGTAAGGAACTGCGATGGTTAATTCTGGTTGCCAATTTGACTTAAGAGATGCCAGGAGATTAGCAGAGCATACTTCTAGGTATATCTGGGTGGGATGTGGGGCTTTCTGCTCTCTCTGTCCTTTTCTCTACCGTGTCCTTCCACCATGGTATTTCTGCATTGAAGGTGAGAAACCATGGTCTAAAACCGTGAGCCAAATAAACCTCTTCTACTTTTAAGTTGCAGTTGTGTTTTCCACCAGTAATGGAGGTGGAAAGCTGACCAAGAAAAGATTATTGAGAAAGTAGTTCATAAAATAAAAGTCTTTGAAAAAGGAAGCAATGATAATTATTTCTAAAATGAGGGAACTACAGCAAATTATCCTGACAATCTTTGGTTATATTTTTCTTGGACCTCAGAAAATGATGATAATAATCCAAGTCAATGCAAGAGAAAGAGAGCTGACGAGGGTCAGTGACAGCTGTGAATCCCAAGATTCTCATTTACTCATCCAGGCCTTGATTATGTCCATAATCCCTGCAGAACCTGGAAAATTGGTCTCATGAAGAACCCCTAAATTTCACATGGTCAAGTTTCACTAAAGGAACTTTCATATGGAATTTATTGAAGAAGCAAATAGAGATAAAGTTTCCTTGCTTTTTTCCCACCTAAACATTACTTTAAAAAATGAAAGAAGCTGGGCATGGTGGCATATACGTGTAATCCCAGCACTTGGGAGGCTAAGGCATGAGGGTTGCTGTGAGTTCAAGGCCAGTCTGAACTGCATATCGAGACCCTATCTTTAAAAAAAGGAAAGAAACGATAATTTATGAGTAATGTTGGTTTGTGGTTGGAAGGACCTAACTTTAGAGCTTGTCGGAAGAGGCCTTTCTTGTGCTATCCATGTCCACCATATGGCACTAGATCCTCAGCGCTATCCGTGCAGCATTTCCAAGGGGCCACAGCCTCAGGCTGGTCCTTGCGGGAAGGAAGAAAAAGAAAGGATCTGTCCTTGTTTACCGGTACAGAAGCTGAGATAGACTTATGGGTTCAATTAAAAAAGGGTAAATGTTTACTTTTAAAAAATTTGTTACAGTGAAAGCCATTTTCATTAATCCTCCTCAAAATATGTGCTCCTCTTCAAACTCCTAGCCCGCTGTTCTTGCCACGTTCTGAAGCGGTTCTGAAAGTCTTCTTGCATGAGTGTCTTTGGCTGTGCTATTGTGCCTGCCTCGAGGTCTTGAACGGATTCAAAACATTTCCTTTCATGGTCATTTTGACTTTGGGGATGAGCCAGAAAAGACACTACAGTGTTTTTACAAGTCCACCTTCTGTTGAGTGGCACTCAGTGGTGGCATTCCCATATTTTTGGTCACCTAGTAAAGACACCCATGAAGGAGAACTCCAAGAGCTGCTTCAGAAAATGGCAAGGATGATGTAGAAAATGTGTTCAAAGCCAGGGAGACTATTTTGAGGGGGATAAATGGCAATGTGTCTGTTACTACAACTAAATCTCTGAACATTTACTTATACTTTTATCATACTTCATATGTGTACATACCTATGCATAGACAAACAAGTGGAGGGGAATATGCCCAAACATACTTGCATAGTTACGGGTTGTGATGACATCTCCAGTCTTACTAGTTTGTGCCATGTGAACAGAATAATGTTAATAAACACAACCAAAGGCTTTACTTCTTGATAATATCCTCTTGCCCAGGGGCTGAGGAGTGTGCAGCCTTTATATTTTCCAGTGATTCCCAAACCGATTTGTAAGCTCTAATCATCTCTCAGTGTCCCCTCCAGGTGCAGTGCCCCTTTGTCAGTGTCTGCCACTGGCACAGCTTCTTGGGAGCCAGTGTCTGCACCAATCGTGCTCTTCTTGGGAGTGGTCCAAACCAAGGCCGGTGGTGCTGGCTCTGGGCAGGGCTGGGGAGCAGTGCCCCCCCCCCCCCCCCCGTGTGGCTCTGTCTCTCCTCACAGCGGCTTACATCTCTCTCAGGAAGGCTTTGTTCCACACTAAATCTTGCACCAAGAAGCTTTTAACCTTGCCATCATACTGTCACCATTTTATTTTTAGAAAGAAAAATTGTAATTTAAAATATTTTTATACCCACATTATTATTATTTGCTTCATAAACTTTAATTCCAAAAGTACTTGGAATGTAAAACTCAAAGGACCCCAGTGACCTGCAGGAAGTAAATGAGAGGAACTGACCTCCGGCTGATTTTTATTCTAAAATCAGGTATGTGTTGAGAGCTTTGCTCTGCAGATTCTTCATCTCCTCAAGCACCTTTTCTCCTGCCTTCTCTGCTGGTTGTGTTTGGTCTTTCACTTCTCTGAATATAAAGAGAAAAAAACAAACAAACAAGATATATACTCAGTAAAATATGAAGCACCCAGTATTTCCAGTGAATGATGGATTCTGTGTTCTAATACATAAGGAAATCTTTAATTATATTTAGTGAGAATTTGCTAACCACTGAGGCCTTTTGGCTTGCAGGGGATTCAGCTCTGGTCTGCAGTCTCGGCTTTACCAGCTTGCTGGCATGAACAAGTTACCTGTGTGTCCAGCCTCCACCTGCTGACCATGGTAATTCCTATCTCCCCACATAGTTGTGATGTTGGAATGAGAATTTAGTCACAGAAATCCTAGAATGATGTCTTCTAACTGCTTAGCATTAAGCATTAGCTAGGTTTTCGCCTTTATGAGTAGAGTACATACTCATGATTTCTGACTCTGACAAGGGCTGCAGAAGGTGGGTTGTGCACCTGATCTAGCTCTGGCTAAAATGAGGCAAAGACTGATGGTTGGCATGACCAGAGATTTCTGGATAGCACTTCAGTTGAATGTGGCATTGAAACAAGGGTGGCAAGTAAGGGATATAATTGAGGGCTAAGTCAAGGGCTTAGAGATGCAAGGATCTAGGCTTCTTAGCGGTCAACCTGCCTCCTGGTGGGCTGGGGCTACAGGTGAAGGTACAGATGGAGATGGAATTGAGAGACTGTTGTGGTGTTTACAGCATCCATAGACCCGGGAGGAGTTGATGAGTGTACCGACTGCAAGGACAGGTGTTTAATATAAAGACTATAAACTCAGCTATATAACATGCCTGGAACACAGGAGAATCTAATATAAAATCAAATGATCCTGAAACATTTTCCTGTCTCCCTGGCTCCTTTCCTTCTTCCGTCTTTTTTTCCGTGAGGCTGGGGATAAAAGCCAGGAAGAGGGAAAAGCTCTGCCTCAGAGATATAGCCCCAGCCCTAGTTGGCAATTTTAATGGAGGAAATTAAACATCCTTTCTATGTTATTTTTGTTTTGCTCCATCTGTCCAATTTCTGTTGCACATGGTGTCTGACAGGGCTCCTGGTGTCTGACTGAGGCTGAAGTGAGACAGAGGAGAAGCACCTGAGTCTGTCATTTTTGTCTGTTCAGGCTGGAAAGGGAATGTGGTTTGTCTAGCAGTCAACCTGTCCCTTCAGGTCACCTCCTTTTACTCCCTTTTCCTTTTCAGTGGACTGGGACAACTTGCTTCGGTATCCTCCCTGGCCATCAAATCTCTACTCTCCACTCCAATGTGAGTGCAGCCAGACAGGCAGTGTGGTGCCTCTCTGCCTCCCTCCACTTCAGACCATACTGCTGCTATTTATTTAGGTATATGTTTGTAATACATCACGTTTATACTCCTCTGTGGAGTAGGTACGTGTACATGTTGCATTCCCTTTTCCTCCTTTCATC